ACTTCTCAGCAATTATTTGTTATTATTACAGTTTAACATTATAAAATTAACAAAAATAATATAAAACTCATATTCTGGTGAAATAGCCACATGGCAGCCAAAAACTGTATATTCCCTTCTTGTTCTCCCGCCCATTGGAGCATTCGTTCCGCTGGATGCAGGACAAATTGTTGAAAAGCGGGACTGTCCCGCCAAAAGCTGGATGTCTGGTCACCCTAGTGTAGGACTGAGGTCATATCTTATTAAATAGTATGAATTTTTCCCACAGCATCCAGGACAGGATTAGTAGTAGAGGAGAAGACAGTTTGGAATGGTGGAGCCTGAAGTTAGTCTAATGGGAAAGAGAAAAAAATTATAGAAGTTAGTAGGCAGTTGAGTAATGCAAATAATATTTTCCCTGAATTTTGTAACTTCTGTGACTTGTGTTAGTGTTTTAATTTTTTTGTGATTACTATTAGAATCTTAACAATCTTAACAAATGTTTACTTTTTATACTTAATTTTACACTTGTTATGTTGTGTTCTTTTCCACAAGAAGGATTCTTAGGATTATATATACTTGGGGCTCTATGAAAACAAGAAACCTTCTTTGATAAGCTTATTATTAGAATAAAACTTTCATAGACTCATGTGGAATTAAGATTGCTAGTAATTTTGTTTATATGTGATGTTTTGATGTGTAATATGTTTCCTTAAAGTTTTCTTTTGGTAGGATTTTCCATAGAATTTCTAGAGAAAATTCAGGCTGTTTCCTGTAAATTGGGCTTAAGTTTTTTAAAAAAGACAACATATTTTAATTTTTATTCCCCATTACTACTCCGATATAGAGCTAGGTACTGTGCCATAGAAGGTGCAGCTAGCATTTTGTCAGATTAGGTTGGCAAGTGGAGGGAAAAACTCAGTAAACAGGACATCACAACTGAACTTTGTCATTATTAATTCAGTGTTTTTCTATTCCATTATACAGTGTTATTTTTTATTTAAGTTTTTCTTTGCCCCAACATTGCCAGCTTTTCCATCATGGAACAACACGGCAATCGAATGATTGTAGAAATAAAATGTAAATCATTCCATAATTTTTAGGGGAGGACCTCTTATTGAATATTTTTTATATTTTGAGAATGAATCTAATTTTGATTCCCTGAATTTATTTAGCTATAAGTTATATGTAGGATTTAAATTTTAAATACTGAATCATCATAGGCAGCCATACAGCTATGCTCATAAAGCAGAGTGCTAAGCGGCGCTGTAGGTGTTTTCAAAAAAGCTTCTGCTGTAATAAAACTATTAGTGCTTAGAACACTGGCATAGTTTTATAGTAGTCTAAGTATTTCACCCTATTCTTGGGGTTCAATCTGTGACTCTTACCTACTGAAAGCAGGTTGCAGAGTTACCTCCAGGATCTAAAGCGAAGTTTGGGGGACCAGTGTGTAATACTGTTTTGTGGTCTTCTAGAATGATTCCTTTTATCTCTCTGCCTTCCTGTTTTTGTGCCATATGTTCTCTTCCGCTGTATGTTCTGTAAGGTTTCTGCAAAGTGTCATTGTGGGGAACCTCAACACAGGTTTCTGGATGACCCAAGATAGTTTTGATCCATATCCTCTCTCCTTTAACTTGTATTTTAGAATTAAATTTCCATTTAGAGAGGAATAACTTTTCCCTATCCCATGGTGCTTAAGTGGAATATAATAGCATGGATTTAATACTGTCACCTGACACTTCATAAGATCACCACACTTGTCAAATAATTGGTTTTATTAGCTCTAATGAAAAAAAAATTATGCATTGAAACATGAAATCTCCTATTTATTTTTTTATTAATAATATTCATTTATTTATTTTACATAGAGATGGATCTCTCTATGTTGCCCAGGCTGGTCTTGAACTCCTGGGCTCAAGCAGTCATCCTACCTCAGCCTTTGAGTAGCTGAGACTTGCCTTAGTCTTATTTTCAACATTTAGTTTAAACAAGTGTATCAGCCCAACAAATCGTTCAGCATTGGGTGGGATTTAGACAGACATTCCATTTAAAGAATTACAATATTAATAATTGAGGCAGGTGCAGAAATGCACTGATAGATGTATTTTTAGGTAGGAGCTGTATTGATACTAGGTTTTTAACAAGTTTCCTAAACAATGTAGCTGTAGGTATAAGCTATGACATCTATCCTGTATTCTCAAAATAAATAAATTCTTTAAGCAAGTGAATACTAAGAAATACCTTAATTTTGAGATGAACTATCTACTTATTTTTTATTCACCAATGTATTCAACATGTATTTATTGAATTCCAACTACGTATTGCTGTGGAAACTCAGAGAGCGAGAGGGCTGCCTAACAGCGAACAACATCAGAGTGTTTCTTGGTACAGTAAAGCCCGTTTACAGACAGTTCTACTGACACACAGGGTCTGTAAGGCCAAGCGCTTTGAAGTCCCTGCAATAATACTTTTAGGAAGGGACGTGATCTGTTTGAAGGTATCTCCTCTCCGTGTTATATCCCGCGAGAGCTTTCTTAAGCAACTGTAATGACATCTTAAGCAAGAGCAAAGCAAGTTAATGAGCTTTTCTGGTAACGTAAATTGGTGTCAGGAATGAAAATGAGGTGCTGACGTTTTTCACCACGCCCCAGAGCCAGGGTATATAAAGAGGGTTCTGAGGCCAGGAATCCATCGCACTGCGGACACACATTCCCCTGCCACCCAAGCCCTCCACTCCGCCACCATGCACTGCAACACCTTCTCCGACGCCGTCTTCCCCGGCTGCTACTGGGGCAGCTACGGCTACCCCCTGGGGTACAGCGTGGGCTGCGGCTTCGGCAGCACCTACTCCCCGGTGGGCTACGGCCTGGGCTACGGCTACAATGGCTGCGGGGTGTACAACTTCAGAAGATACTGGCCATATGCTCTGTACTGAACCTGCTGAGATCCCCGAGGTGTGCCATCTTCTCTCCCTCGAAGGCTGAAACGCCCGTCTCTGGGTCCCTCCCGTGTCTACCCCCTTAATCTTCACCTGCTCATCAAGCTCAGAGTCCCTGCGTTTCTCACCAGCACTGACGTCCCCAAGGGAAGAGAATGAAGAACCAGACGCTGCCTCCAGCTGCCTCTCCTGGATGATGTGTGTTGGGACGTTTCCAGAAAATTGACACTCCCCTGGACATCTATTACTTTTGAATTTTTCATGACATTCCTGACCCTTGTCATGGTGTTGTGGATCTGTCTGCCAAAAGCTCAATAAACTTGTCTCAACTAGCATAATAGTCTTATCTGGGAGTGGAGTTTTTCTTTCTTAGTGTGGGTGTATATTTTCTGGTACTCGGAGTGGGAAGCAAGTGGATTTATTTTTCTTATACGGCATTAGAGGCAGTGAGAAAGCAGATGATTTTTGATTTTGCATAATAAGCATACAAGAATGAGGGTTGTTGGCAATGACAAAAAACGTTGCTTGTCTGAACCTTCCCCGAACTTGATGACACCACCTCTAATCTAGGAGGTCATTCATTGTTTAGGTTCCCGACTCATTTCCTGATTTCTGCCCTTCCTGGAGAAAACTCAACATAAGAGAGACTGAAGTTATTCTGTTAGTGCAGATGAAACCCACTGTGCTCCTTCTCCCAGGGTTTGTAGACTAAAATACCAAGTCCCCTACTTAAGGATTCTGTAGCATTAAGAAATAGAGATGCAATAGACATACCTTGGGAATCTGAGAGCCTTTTAGGTGAAGGGATAAATCCCCTAAATCAAACACCTAAAGTATGAGACATATAAAGTGTCTACTTCATAGCTTAGAAGCACCCAGGTTAGACACAATGATGGAAACCTTGATCTTTGTGGAATTAATACATGATAGCGAGTTTCAGTCTTAAAAGACAGGAACCGTAACAAATAGTTATTTCTGAAGATTTATCAACCTTCCTCTATGTTCCTTTTGGGAAGAGAGCGATATTCATTTTAGAAGTCAAAACAACAATGTCTCAATCCTGCTGAAAACATTTCATGTATAATATAAATATTTTTGGTGACAGTAGGATTCAGCTTAACTTTGCTTTTTTATTGGACATCTACAAGTGGTTGTATTGCCTGTAATCCACTTTGCAGAGATCATTTTGGAGGAGAGTATTTTCTCCACCGCATTTCATCCAATATATATTTTTTTAAGTTCAGAAAATATGGCCAAACACAGTGGCTCACACTGTAATCCTAGCACTCTGGGAGGCCAAGGCAGGTGGATTGCTTGAGCTCAGGAGTTTAAGACCATCCTGAGCAAGAGCAAGACACTGTCTCTAATAAAAATAGAAAAACTGAGACAAGAGGATCACTTCAGCCCAAGAGACTGGAGGTTGTTGTGAGCTATGATGACATCAGGGCATTCTTCCCAGGTTGACAGAATGAGACTCTGATTAAAAAAAAAAAAGTTTAGAAAATAATTTGTTGAAAAATATTTAATTAACTGATTGTTTTTCTTTTTCTGGTTTAACAATAATAGACATTCTTACAACCAATAAGATCTCCAGTTCAAAGCTTTTTAGCAGCCACATATTAACTTATGCTGAGAATGGTGAATTAAAGAACAACTTTCAAGCATTAGAGTATTACGTTGAAATTAAAAGGTATCAGTCTGTTTGGAAATGACTTTGTGCTTGTAAAGACCTTAGAGAGCATCGCATTCAGTGTCTCTTTCTTTCTCCTTCTCTCCCTCCCTCCCTTCTTCCTTCCTTCTTTCCTTCCTCTCACTCTCTTTCTCCCTTTGTTTTTCTCTCTCTCTCCCTTTCTTTTGCTCTCTCTCTTTTCCCTTCCCTTCCCTTCCCTTCCCTTCCCTTCCCTTCCCTTCCCTTCTCTTCTCTTCCTTTCTTTCTTTGAGTCTCACTCTGTTAACCCTGGGTAACATGAGTCCCATGGCATCAGCCTAGCCCCCAACCTCACACTCCTGGGCTCAAGTGATCCTCCCGCTTCAGCTTCTTAAGTGGCTGGGACTCCAGGTACCTGCTACTGTACCTGGTTTAATTCAGTGTCTCTGAAACTGAGGTATGCAGGAGAATGTCTTGGGCAGCTGTCAATATATCTTACCCCCAGGGATTCTAACTTGGCACATCTGGGGTGACCTCCAGAAATCTACATTTTTTTAGAAGCACTCTAGAGCTTCCAGAGCAGATAGTATGAAACTCATACTTTAAGCAGTACTTTCAGGCTATCTCTCTCTTTCTCTTTCTCTCTTTCTCTCTCTCACACACATACTTATTTACTTAGCAAATGAATCTTGATAAAGGAAAATCATTTACTCAAAGGTGTCTTGCATATCGCAACAAGACAAGGACAGAGAAAGGACCATTTTTCATATCCTCCAAGACGCAGAGGGTATAGACTGAAGGATAACATCTGTGTTTAGAGCTTTTCAACCTGAGTTAACAGGTGGCTGCCACAAAGTTTCAACTGAAGACTTCATTGTCTATTACAACACCTACGCTTGTTAAGAAAGCCTGGGTAGCCAGCAGTCTGGTGCTGAAGATTCAGCCTGCTGAGCCATGACCTGCTGAAGGAACAAAGCGCATTGGAGGGTTTTGTACATTCACAGCTCCTATTCCATAGGAACCATGTTCTACATCACTGAATGTCAGCTGATTTTTTTTTTTAACTGAAATTTAGCTCTGTCACCTGTGGGTCTTTCTCAGACGCTTAGGTACCACCCTTGGAAATTCTAATGGGAAGATCTCCTATGGGGGCCTAGAAATTTGTATTTAAAATGAATCTCTTTAAGTAATTTGTTTTTATGGCATCAATTTATAACCATTATAGGGTCCTTTTATCATTGCTCTTTTTTTTTTTTTTTGAGATAGAATCTTACTTTGCCACCCTGGTGTTGAGTGCCACGGTATCATCACAGCTCACAGCAACCTCAAACTCTTGGAATCAAGTGATCCTCCTGCCTTAGCCTCCTGAGTAGCTGGGACTACAGGTGCCCATCACAACACCTGGCTAACTTTTCTATTTTTGGTAGAGATGGGGTCTCGCCTTGCTCAGGCTGGTCTCAAACTCCTAAACTCAGGTGATTCACCAACCTTGGCTTCCAGAGTCCCAGAATTGCAGGTGTGAGCCACTGTGCCTGGCAAATTTATCATGGTTTTTGTTTTCTCTTTCAGCTTTATCCATTTGGTTTGAATTTAGAAACTAAAGTAACTCACCCATATTTATATAGAATTCATATAATGAAAATAATAAATACCACATTATAGGTAAATTTAAGGGAAGCGTAGAAAGAACATTTGGTGTTGCATTTTGGCTCAGCGGTGGTCTGAGTATAGTTAGTACTTGTTTCTGGTTGTAGAGCAGCTTTGGTATTAAGCTGAGCCCTGTACATAGCAGAATCTCAATATATGTGACTTCATTATGAGACCCATTTCCTCAGTTCACTTGAAAAGGATGTTAAACATCTATCTGCTAACATCTTGCGTTAGCATGCTTTAGTTCATAGCCATTTGTGGATTGAAAGCATAATGCTGTCTGTGCATTTTATGACTTGGGTTCCTCTCACAAAGTCACACATAAAGTATTACTTTGCTTTTCTACTTTACCATTAATTGCTCATTTCTCCTAATTACTTGTAAAAACAAACCATGTCTATTGGAGATTTCTCTGGTGAAGGCAGCCAGTAGAACTGAGAAAATGACTCGGATGTTAAAGACAGCTGATCTACAGAAGAACATTCTAGAGAGATGCCTAGGAAGTCCAGCAGACTACCAAACCCTAATCGTTGGGCTTCCCAATTCCTAACTCCTCAGGAGTGATCATTCACTAGCTGTAACTGAATATATAAATGGCAACTTATATTTACCCATTTGATTCACAAAAGAAGTTTGAAATCTCATGGAATTTTTTATGGCTAACTTTGATAGAAAATATTTTATGTGATATCCTATTAAACATTTCCCCAGTGTTCTCTAAAGGCCATTTGGAAAGCATCTAACATCTGCTCTCTGTCACGAGGTTGGTAGGGAAACATTCTCCACATGGCACTCTTTACGTGACCATTGTATTTGATGACGCTACAACAAAGGTGTGAGCCATAACATTCTGACAATCAAGAATTGGAAACCAAAATATACACGACTACGTGCCCACATGGAGGAAAGCACAAGCATAGTGAGGGGCCTGGAGAAGGGAGAGCGCGGAGGGAGGGGATCTCACCTAACGTGCACAGGTGCTCAGCACCCACCCCCCGGGGCAAGGGGCTTAACTGCAACTTGAACTTTACCTCAGGAATGAAAACAATATTACCTAAACATTTGCACCCTCATGTCATTCTGAAATTAAGAAAAAAGACTTAAAGATCGCAGAGCTGTCGTGAGCCTGAGAAATGTACTATATTGACATTGTTCTTACATACAAGAAACGACAAAATGATTTTCTCTCCTTCCCATTTTTTCTTGTTCTGCATTTTCTTCCCTTCAGCTTCTATAACTTTGACCTCAAGTTTCTTATTTAGAGGACCATGGGACTCTGTATTCTATTCCCATAGATATTGTAAAGCAGAGTCAGTTTCTAAGTGGATTTATGTGAGTTTCTCAGCAAGGAGACAGACCAAAAGAGGAGCCTTCTCAGCATGGAGGAATCTCACAGTCACAAGAAGTCACTCTTCCCAAGGATTCATAATGGCTTAGAGTTACAGACACCCTCACCCCACAAAAGCTTTCAGCCACAACGGTACCCAAGGAAGATTATCAAACGCCTTACACATCTGAGTTCTCCTTCACTTAACAAAGGTAAGAAAGAAACATAAACATCAAAGACTGAAGAATAAATAGATGACCCTAATATTTGATAAATTTTATCCAAAGTGTTAACTCTTTTATCATCCCCAAAGCATTTTTTCTTGCTCTTTTTCCAACAATTTCAAACAAAAGAAGCAAAGCAGAATCTAGC